CACCCGCAGTTGTCTGACATCATCGACTTTCTCTGGTCACTTCCTGTGTTGACGCAGCTTTATGATAATGCCCCCAAACCTTGGTTCAGTCAACCAAGCACACCTGGCACACAGGTACACCTTAGACCTCTGAAGATCTGATCTATATCAGACATGATGCCATGTTACCTAGCAACCAGCTACCAATGGACTAAAATGACCTGGCTTTAGATTTTATGAACCTATAACACTTTATAAAAGCTTTGTTTTCATTTCATGTCATTAACATTTAATGAAACCTTCGTCATCATCATCATCATCATGCACATGTGTGATGGCAACAGACTCCCACACCAGCTCCAGCCACACGGTTCCAGTTTATTACACTGTGTAAAAGCAGATGTGAGCAGATGTGCCAGACTGCTGTGACCCATCACCAGACACAAAGGAAGCGCGGCAGGTATCGGGATATTTAAGAAGCCGGGTGTGGTCTGTGGCGTCATGGTGGGTGCTCTCCTATTTCAGGGGAATGCCGGGACCTGACGGGGAGCCGGAAGAGGACGGGTCAGTGGGACAAGAAGAAGAAGTCTTGTCACTAAAAGCATCCACGTGCGTTTTGTACCACGCCGCCACTTCAGGATAACTGGAATCTGCATCCATCATAGCTGCTGCTCAGCTCGTAGTTCACAGGCAGAGAAAACACGGCTGCTCCGCCCAAGTCCTCGCACTTCAGCTCGAGTTTCCCTCCCACCGCTGTCTATTTCTGCCCGCCGCACAAGCGCGAGGCAGAATGTCGGGCATGCTGGGGGTGGGTTGGAGGAAGGGTGGGGGTCGGGATATGCGGCTCCTTTCCAAACCACCCCCACCCCCACATCCTGTTTGACGCAGCAAGTCACGGCGTTACTTTGGTTTGACTGTTTTTATTGTTTTCATTTCGTTTCAGCGATGATCCAGATGTTCTCCGGTCGGTTTATTTCACACGTTTGTTCGTCCCCGCCTTAAAACCAGTAACTGAGGATTAAAAAAGGAGTCACGATTAAACCCAGAGTTTAACTGTTTAACCCTGAAGAACCGTTTAAAGTTCGATTAATGGAGAAACAATCTTTACTTTTAAAGACTACGTTTAGTCAAAGGGGAGAAAAGTGAAACTGGGACATCTTACGAGCTCAAACACCTTCAAACTCAAAGCCCAGTTGGCTTCTTTCCCACGCTCTTCGTGCTACCGTGACCCGGCTGCCTGAGCACTGCACACACAAACTCAGACGTCTTTGATTTCTCTCGCTTTTTTAACCAAAATGGCGTCCTGCTCACTTCCAGCTGCTGCGAGGTCAGCTGCACTAACAGAGTGTCCGAGAACCTGAGGGAAGATCAAGCGCTTCATTTGGAAGTTGCTCAGCGCTAATGAGCAGGTATCTGTGCTAACTCAGCACGCCGCCCTGTCATCCAAACGAGGTCGCTTCTGGCGCCTGAAAACATGGCGGCAAACAGAACGCTAAGGCCGAGTCCAGAAACGCCCGCCGGGCTGTCTCTTCAGTCCAGCTTCACGCGCTCGTATTTTCCTATCAGTCGGTCCCACATTCCTCTGCTCCGGCTACACTTTTCCTCAGAAGGTCAAAGTTCAGGGTGCGCCGCTACGATGGAGTGGTATGCCTCAGTGCTGCGCACACACTTTGTACGAGCAGCTGCGGCACACGGTGAAAGTAAGAAGGTTTGGTAACGTGTGTGTGTCCTTAAACGCGGCGCTCTGACCATCTGCTGCACGCCTCCTCGCTCCCCGTGGACTGTAGCGCACGTCGCGGCGCTCACGCGTGTGTGGTACTCGTTGGTGAGCTACTCTCTGATATTTCTGGGCAGCATTTGGCCGTTTCCCACGTGGAGACCTAAAAATGCAACCTCCCGCTAAACGAGCCGCGAGCACGCGAGCAGAGACACCCGACCGACCAAACTGACTGTTCACGAGAAACATAACGAGAAACCAGCAGCTGCTGTGACGCTCACAGACCAAAAGGGATAAAAGACTCATTCAAGCACAAAGAGAAACAGGGTTTCTGGAGCAGGCAGGAAAAAACAGAATCATGATTCAGGTTTGATCGTTTCTACCTGAAAGTCTGAAGGTGTGAGAATCATTAACACAGCTGCTCGCCAGCCGCCGGGTTTGAAAGAGGGCGTGGCAGACCAAATAAAATGTGACTATGAAGATAAGAGCTGCAGCAGGCTGCCCAGCTGATCAGAACAAGTCAAACTGATTTGTGCTCAGCATGAGAACGTTTATTTCATGCGCACAAACAAAAGGAAGCGGCCGGGTCGGCTTCGGACCATCACGCCGCTGCGCAGGCTGTGGGGTCGAGCTGATCCTTGACTTTTTCCTTTCTCAGAGCTCTCGCTGTCTCTCCTTGACAGCGAGAGCTCTGAGCCACACTGACAGAAAGAGGCTGCAGCCAACAACTCTGATGAAAAGGCAGCAGGAGGGTTTTACAGGTGAGCTGCTGGAACAGAAACGGCGTTCTTCTTCTCCCCGGCGCACAGCTGACTGCTCGGCTGTGGCCCTGCGAGTCGGGCCTTTCAGTCAGAATCAGGGGCTATTGTGGGCCGGGCTCCAGACAGGATGACCCTGCATCATTCATCGACACCCCCACCACCATCATCACCACCACCATCATCATCATCATCACCTGTGTTTTTACTCATTTCTTGCTAATTATATTCACAGCCCGTGGAAATCCCCTTTAAACACATCTGTTAGAGTTCAGCCACTGCATGGCGCTTGATGATTAGAGGAGCTGATAAGATAATGAAGCAGCCGCACGCTTGGTTGAATATGTTCAGGCTTCTACTCGTCCACACATGGACTGTTTATCGGACAAAACAGGAAAGATGACATTTTCCAACATTTTCCTGGGGGAGACATTAAATCCAGAGACCCCGTCTGAGACTGTGTGTGTGTGTGTGTGTGTAAATGGCGTGCAAACACACACTGTCATGCTTCGAGGTGACGACTGCACACGGAGAACTTCGGGGTAAGCCCGTTGTTTCAGACGTTTCCATTGCAGGAGCACTTTAAAAGGCGCAGACTTCCTGTTAGCGCTGGAGCGTGGACACGCCAGATGTGTGAGAGCGGTGGAAGCTCACAGGCTGCTGAGCTGCAGCTGCTTCCTCAGCTCCACTAACACTGATCAGCACTTTCATGTAAAAGTTCACACATTTTTAACTCTGCAGCTTCCTGAGAAGCGCGTACAACACTTCCTGTGACTTCTATTAAAGCGGCTGAAATCGAGCGACACAGCAGACCCGAGCTAAACGTGGAGAATTATCCCAGCAGTGTGACACACAGCAGAGGCTTCAGTCACTTTATTCTTTTATTTATCAGACATTTATTAAAGTCTTGAAGCTCGTCAAAGGGCAACTAAGGGTCCCCTGAGCGCGGCGTTTTAGTGAGAACAAACATAAAACATGAGGTGGAGGTGGTGGGGGTCACGAGGAGATCATCAGCTGCATTGATTCCAGGACTCGACGCGACTTTTTTAAAACAATAAAATCTAATTTTTGCCTAAATATCTAAAAGGTTTTAGAAATTACAAACACTGTTACACTGTAACGGGATAAAAGGTTCCACACTTGCTCACATACGCGTTTGTTTACCGTAAACAGCTGATAAGAAAATAGCTGTGTAAACATGTGAAAATAAAACTGTTTCTATGACAACAGCTTATCCAACGACCTAACCGACGGTGATGATAAAGCCGCTGATTTCTAAGTAAGTTTATCATCATATAACAGCTGCAGGTCGGCCATCAAAGGAGTGTCAAACATAAGGTCCAGGGGCCAGAATTGGCCAGGCAAACACTCTAATTTGGCCCACTGGACAGCTGTGGTAAAAGTGAAGGAGGGTTAAAGTTTGGACTTTTAACTGTAGTTTTGTTAGAGTCACAGATTTTCCTGCCAATAAAGATTTAGAGCCTTCAGCGCTCGACCGATGACACAAAGAACCAACGACCATCGCGGGATTGAGGTTTTGTTAACCCGGCTCACACAAACAGAGCCTGGCTGTGCCGAACCCGCTTCAGAGGCTGGTGCTGTGTTTGGAGAGCGGCTACCTGCCTGCTGCTGCTCATGTGGTTTGACACTAAGAGCGCCTCGGTCAGCTTTAGGAGATGTTTGGGGGTAAAAGGCAACAACGCCGCTCGCTGACAAAGAGCGAGCTGGGAGTGGCCATCACTGATACCTGCGAGAAACGGCAGAAGTCGAGGAAGAGCCCCGCCTTCCTTATGATGCCAAAGGATGATGCTGGATTTATTTCTGATTTAAAAACTCGCTTCTTGCTCTGGAGACGCTCCCGGTGGGACGGCTCAGACTCCTCTGTGGTGGCGTGTGGACTCCGCCCATGAAATGGTGCAGAGCCTCTGTTTGCTATGGAGGGTTGCTTCACTTTCACTTTTAGTAAGGATGTAAAACAGGGATCGTCTGACTTTCTGTTCAGCTTTCCAGGACTGCAGCTCGGCGCTCCTGGACTTTCCACAGAGCAGAGAGAAGAAACCATGAGCAGCAGCAGGGGGAGGAGGAGGAGATGACAAACTGCCCACAAATGTTTCCACCATCCATTACCCAACAGGCTTTGACTCATCCAGTGGAAACCCCTCCACCCACCCATCCTACCCACACACGCACGCACGCATACAGGAGGATGTAATCCACACAAAGCCGCACACCAAACACACCAAACTTCCAGCTCCGACTTTTCCTGCCACACAAACCGAGCAGTGAACATCGCCCGCGGTCACACACCTGATCTGTCCCCACCTGTGCACGTCGGCGCACAGCACCCACACTTTGCCTCGGAGGTACAATGTGGTTACGTAAGCAGAGCGCGCGCACGACTCCCGCGCTGACGGTGATTTCCCCACCGCGAGCCCCTGCTGCCGACAATGTGCGCGCGCGCGTCCCGGAGCAGGCCTCGCGGTAAATGGGTGGGGGACGTGACGATGTCCAGCAGCTAGGGGACAGACACACGCGAGCGCGCTCACCCAGAAGATGAAGTTGAAGAAGAAGAGCAGGTATTTGATGCATTTGGTGCAGCCTTCCACTCCCATGATGCTCCGGGACTCGGTCTGTTCGGCGCAGAGAGGCACAGCAAGAGGAGCAGCAGAAGGACGAAGCGACGGTTCAGGAGAGAGCTCAACACTGGAATGAAGCTCGCACACCGAGGCAACACCCAACCCCTCCCTCCTCCCTCCGCCTGGCAGCCAAACAGCGTCCAATCGGAGAGGAGCGAAGCGCGGGCGCAGCCAATCAGAGCGCAGGGTGGTGAGAGCGAGCCAAACTAACCCATTGTGTTAATGAGTCGCAATTTAGTTACATTTTATTTACAAACACAGAAACAGACGGTAAACACACCCTCCCGATTACGTCATCGCCGAAGGCTCTCTCTTTCTCACTCACTGGAAGGAGACGGGGGGGTCACAGGGGCTCTCCCGGGGAGAGGAGGGGGCTTTCAGAGGGACAGCAGGGGGGCGTTACGGCTGAAGATAACAGAACAAAAAGTAATCAAACGAAACTAAAGCATTTTTTAAACCACTCGATTATTTCTGCCTCGTTTATGTTTCGTCTCTTTCTCTTTATCCAAATTTATCTGGAAACACATTTAAAACAACAACACTGACCAAAGAGCTGCGCATGAATCACAGGGTTACACAATATAACACACACACATGCACACACACACACACATATAAGATAAGATAAGATAAGATAAGATAGAACTTTATTAATCCCTCGGGTGGGTTCCTCTGGGAAATTCGACTTCCAAAAAGCACAGCAACGACCGAAGTTACAGTTACAGAATTGTTATATATATATATACACACACACACACACACACACACACACACACACACACACACACACACATATATAAATACAGAGACAATATAAATAAAATATACAAAGGGGATAAATAGAATAAATAGGAATAAAAATAAAAAATACAAGTGAATTGCACATTTCAAGTATTGAGTCTATTGCACTGTTGACTATTTACAAAAGTATTGCACAAGGTATTGCACAGTGAGGTGAAGAGGCACTACAGCTTAGTTGTTCCCCCCTCCTTTGTCCTCCTGTTTCCCCTCCCTCTCCCCTCCAGGGAGGAGTTAAACAGTCTGATGGCGTGTGGGACAAAGGAGTTTTTAAGTCTGTTAGTTCTTGTCTTGGGGAGAAGCAACCTGTCACTGAACAGACTCTTCTGGTTGTTTATGGCCGTGTGCAGAGGATGCCCAGCATTGTTCATAATGTCCAGCAGTTTCTTTAATGTCCTTTTCTCTGCCACTGTCACCAGAGTGTCCAGCTTCATGCCGACCACAGAGCCAGCCCTCCTGATCAGTTTCTCCAGCCTGGATGAGTCCTTCTTTGCTGTGCTGCTCCCCCAGCACACCACAGCATAGAAAAGTACTCCAGCAACCACCGACTGGTAAAACATCCTCAGGAGCTTCCTGCATATATATATATGTGTGTGTGTGTGTGTGTCTGTGTTTAAACCCTTTAATGTGGTTGGCTCCATGACCACATGTTAGCCTTTTTGGCCCAGAGTGAGAGTTTCAATATTCAGGCTGCTGTATTGTGTGTGTGTGTGTGTGTGTGTGTGTGTGTGTGTGTGTGTGTGTGTGTGTGTGTGTGTGTGTGTGTGTGTGTGTGTATTGGGTTGTTTTGTTTTTAGAGCAGGAGTTACGTTCTAAAAATAACCCACAATAACTGAAACCCGCGAAGTAGCCGACTTTATTTACAATGATTACAGATGTTTTAAGGCTGTAAAACCCGTCACTACACACTTTAGACACTTTTCTCAGACAGGCATGAACATTTTCAGTTTTCTCTCTTGTTTATACGCTCAAAGTTCAAACCTTCGTAAAAAACAAACAAACAAGTCCAGCATTACAGGATGAAACCAAAGACACCCGCACGTGACGACGTCTCGTCAACATTGTTGTGCTTGTTGGGGAGAAGACTGACAAACGTACAGTCCAGCACTTATGAGTCACACTGTTAGGATGGAAGATTTATGTAAATGTGACGAGCTGAACGCACTCTGTGCTGTACAGGAGACACGTGCACGGGACTGATGGACAGTAGGGGTGCAACGATATTCGTATCGATATTGAACCGTTCGATACAGTGCTTTCGGTTCTGTACGCATATGTATCGAACAATACAACATTTGTAATTTATTTTATCAATTTTCCTTCTGACGATGCTGTCTGTGTTGAGCGCTCAGTGAATCTGCGTTCGACTACTCCGCCTAGGCTGCACTGTCCAGCGCAGATCCACTGAGCGCTCAACACAGACAGCATAGTCAGGAGGAAGAGCGCAGGGCAAGCTAGCGAGACAGAAGTTAAGCTCTCCTTGCAACAGGCAAATTGAACCTCATTCAGATCTGGCGTTTGGAATTATTTTGGTTTTCATGTGACGTATGACCCTGAAGGTAAGCGAGTCATGGACTAAAGTAAAACAGTATGTTGGATGTGCCATGCAATGCTCAATTACATGGGTGTGAACTAGTGTGTTAGCGCAGTTAGCTCGTTAACGTGTTGGCCGTCTAGCCCCATGCACGGGGCGATCGGCGGTAGCTCGTTAACGGAGATTTGCCGTGTTGTGGCGTTAAGGTCATTTCAACGAGATTAACCTGAAAGCACTAGTGGGAACACAACGAATATGACTGCACATTTACACCGACATCATCCTGGTGCAAAGACAAAAACAACAAGCATGCTACTAACTTTAGCCGAGTCATTTAGACAGCTGTTAGCACATGATTCTCCTTATGCTGCTGAGAATATAGCCCAGAAGAAGCGGATAGTATAGCTTTTATTTTGGAAAGAGACATTTCTCTGTAATAAACTCTCTTTTCCAAAGATGAGTGATTCCTCAATCAGATACAGGGCTTGCAAAATCGCTAGCCCGACGTCCCGGGGCTAGCGATTTTTCCAGTCGGGCTACCAAAATCTATCTCTGCCCTGCCCGTCGGGCTATTGTAGGAAAAATATATGTCAATGCTTTTGCATTCTTTCAGAAATGTAGCTGGGTAATTATGTCATTGGCATCGGTGAGCCACTGTCAATATGTGACATATTGAAATCGCGTTTGAATTTGCGCTTGTTTTTTGCTTTCACTTTGCAATCGTGCGAACTGTGTATAGAGAGCGACAGCACTGATCTGTGAGTGATGATAATTTGTGCACCAATTCCTCTGACATCGTCTTATTAATCGTTAGCTTACTATGCAAACATGACAAGTGAAATCTCCCGCAGCAAGCTTAAACATGTGAGAGGTTGATCGCGCAGAGAATCGCTGAGCTTATGTGAGTGCGTGTGTAAAAGCATTTCAGTTCTGCTGAGCCAAATAAGACAGGTCAGGGTGAAGAAGTGACAGCCAAAGAAAAGCTTACCACAAAACGGAGAAGTTATGACAAATCAGACTATAAGGCAAAAAGAAAGTGCAGCTTTATGGTTTCATGGACAAAAGAATTTCTGTGGCTGCAATATGACGAGCTAAATAACCAGGGCTGCACATTAGTGGTCCGCAGGTACGCATTCGCTGTCAAAATAAAAAACACGCACAAGGGTTAGGGTTAAATTTAAAAACTGTACTTTTGAGTTAAAATATATATTTATAATTTTAATAAATGACAAATTAAAAATGCATGAACATTTTTTTGTATTGAAAAAATATCGAACCGTGACACCAAAGTATCGAACCGAACCGTGAATTTTGTGTATCGTTGCACCCCTAATGGACAGTGGTCCACAGCCAATCAGGACGCAGAACACAATGCGCTGTATAAAAAAAGACAAAAGGGGGAAAAGTATGCAAAATTGCACAAAAAAATCAGCGAAACAGCGAGGCTGCGAAAGATGAACCGCGATATAGACCGCCAGGGCTGGACTGGGACAAAACATCGGCCCACCAGGTATTATAGGAAAAACCATAAAGCCTTTGATTGAGAACAAACGCTGTTGTCACAGTGATGGATGCTGTCTTGTTGGTATATATGCATCAGTCTAATAAACTTAAACCTGCACCATCCTCCCTATTCTGGTATTCTAAACAGTACCTGAAAGTAGACTGTTGGTCGAGTTAACCTCCTGAACTATCTACAACACATGGTGAAAACCTGACATTGAGACAGAGAAGACTAGAGGTGAGACATGATCATTACTGATGACAGATTTAGATATATTTGCATAAACCATTCATTTGCCACATCAATAAACAGCATGACAGGGCAAAATATTCTTTCTAACATGGCAACCTTTAAAAAGTGAAAAGTGACAGAAAGACAGGTGAGAAAGAATAAAACTGACTTTTTGATGGCATTTTACACACAGTACTGGTGCAGTATCTAGAAAATGTGGGAAATACTGGCATCATATACAGGGAGTGCAGAATTATTAGGCAAATGAGTATTTTGTCCACATCATCCTCTTCATGCATGTTGTCTTACTCCAAGCTGTATAGGCTCGAAAGCCTACTACCAATTAAGCATATTAGGTGATGTGCATCTCTGTAATGAGAAGGGGTGTGGTCTAATGACATCAACACCCTATATCAGGTGTGCATAATTATTAGGCAACGTCCTTTCCTTTGGCAAAATGGGTCAAAAGAAGGACTTGACAGGCTCAGAAAAGTCAAAAATAGTGAGATATCTTGCAGAGGGATGCAGCAGTCTCAAAATTGCAAAGCTTCTGAAGCGTGATCATCGAACAATCAAGCGTTTCATTCAAAATAGTCAACAGGGTCGCAAGAAGCGTGTGGAAAAACCAAGGCACAAAATAACTGCCCATGAACTGAGAAAAGTCAAGCGTGCAGCTGCCAAGATGCCACTTGCCACCAGTTTGGCCATATTTCAGAGCTGCAACATCACTGGAGTGCCCAAAAGCACAAGGTGTGCAATACTCAGAGACATGGCCAAGGTAAGAAAGGCTGAAAGACGACCACCACTGAACAAGACACACAAGCTGAAACGTCAAGACTGGGCCAAGAAATATCTCAAGACTGGTTTTTCTAAGGTTTTATGGACTGATGAAATGAGAGTGAGTCTTGATGGGCCAGATGGATGGGCCCGTGGCTGGATTGGTAAAGGGCAGAGAGCTCCAGTCCCACTCAGACGCCAGCAAGGTGGAGGTGGAGTACTGGTTTGGGCTGGTATCATCAAAGATGAGCTTGTGGGGCCTTTTCGGGTTGAGGATGGAGTCAAGCTCAACTCCCAGTCCTACTGCCAGTTTCTGGAAGACACCTTCTTCAAGCAGTGGTACAGGAAGAAGTCTG